GAAACCGTTTTCGTGGCCAGGCCCAACAGGCCACAATCAACGTAGTTAAAACACCCGGCCGCCCTCTTTAGGGACCGTGCTACCGGTGTGGGAAGACGGGTCATTACATGAGCGACTGCCTCGAGAAAACGTCGGCGAAGGATGACGGTAGGAAGGAGCAGGGAAATGGGAAGAGTCAGTAATTAGCGGGCCCTTTACTGATTGTTCTCCGTCGCCCGAAACCCCACCATCCCCATGGAGTCGTGGTTCCGATTCATGCAATCGATCGCACTCGGCCGAATAACGGGGATAATCATGTGGATCACCCTGTGCTGGTCGCTGGTAAAGTGTTAAACAATAATTTGAAAATATTTGTCGATGGAGGGGCCAGCCATAGCCTCTTCAACTTGGCGACAGCAAAAAAATGCAAGCTGCAACTTGACAGGTGTCTTCCCGAAATCGACGCTCGCCTTGTGGATGGGACGCCTCAGGCGATTCTGAAAGAAACACGAATGGTGCAGATCAAATGCAGCGACAATTTCGGCTTCAGCATGAAGTTTCTCGCGACGACGCTAGACGGCTGCGACGTACTGCTGGGACGTGATTGGCTGCAAAAGTATAACCCCGTCATCGACTGAACAACAAGATCGTGCAGCATCAGCAAGCACGAGGGGCTAATAAAACTTCATGCATGGACACCTGACTACATCCAAGCCCCGTGCGTCAAAGCCATCACTATTGCTCGCCACTTCAACCGAGGCGCGCAGCTGTTCGCCGTATGCTTGCGCGAGTTGGTAGCCGACAATGACGGAACAAACATCGAGAAGCTATACGCAGCTGTACCACTTGACTTAGCGGAGCTGATTCGACAGTACCCGGACATCTTCCCCAACGATCTGCCACCTGGACTGACACCCAAGAGACCTGAGGACCACAAAATACAGCTGGAGCCTGGCGCCCAACCGACTGTTCGTACACAATGGCGGCTGACTCAGCCAGAACTTGCGGAGCTTTGAAGTTAACTTGAGTCACTGTTGGAGAAGGGCTTCATCAGACCCAGTACATCGCCCTTCGCCGCGCCGATCCTGTTCGCACCGAAGAAGGATGGCGACATTCGCATGTGCATCGACTATCGCGCACTCAACCGGGTTACCATCAAATCTAATCACCCCATCCCACGCACCGACGACCTCCTCGATCAACTTCGCGGTGCTCGCTACTTTTCGAAGATTGACCTACGCGGTGGTTACCACCAGATTAGGGTTGTCGCTGACGACTATTACAAGGCCGCCTTTCGAACCCACTACAGCAGTTACGAGTTCACCGTGATGCCTTTCGGCCTTACAGGGTGTTTCGCAACCTTCTCGACAAGTGCTCTTATCGTCTACTTGGATGATATTTTGGTTTTTAGCAGGACACGCGAGCAGCATTTTCGCGACCTCGACGTCGTGTTTAAACGGCTACAGGACAACCTGCTCATCACCAAAGGGTCTAAGGGGGGGGGGTTTAGTAGGAGTTGGAGTTTTTGGGGCACACCATCACACGCGACGGCTTCAAAATCGACCCGAAGAAAATCCAGACCATTTAGGAGTGGAAGGGCCCGACTAATGTGACGGAACTTCAGAGTTTTTTGGGGTTTGTGAATTAAGTCCAACGGTTTATCCCGAATATGGCGGGGATAACCGGCCCGCTGACCAACCTGCTTCATAAGGACAGTAATTTCGTATGGGGGGAGGAAGCTGAGGCGGCTTTTTAGGAGCTGAAGCAGTTGCTGGTGTCCCCTCCAGTTCTTCGCATGGCCGACCCATCTCGACCGTTCGAAGTCGTCACGAACGCTTCGGATTTCGCCATCGGTGCTGTGCCGCTTCAAGATTTCGGCAACGGCTTACAACCGATCGCCTACGAGTCACATAAATTGCAGGCAGCCGAGCGCAACTACCCGATTCACGACAAGGAGATGCTCGCCATTATTCATGCGTTTAAACTGTGGCGATGCTGCCTGATTGGTGCCGATGTCACTGTTCGCACCAATCATAAATCCCTACAGTACCTCTGCGCGCAACCCAACCTCAACCCGCGACAAATCCGGTGGCTCGACTACATGGAGTCACACTTTCACTACAGGATCACCTACAAGAAAGGCGCGAATAACATCGCCGACGCCATAACCCGACCGACTGTACAATCCACTGCAGTAGTGATCACCCATTCGAACCCACTCCTTTCGGGGCTATTAACCCACAGCTACAAGACGGACCCGTTTTTTACGACAGCAATCATCTGCAGGCGACGACGCAGAAAGGCGACTATTACCTAAAAGCATAGACCGACCGAGTTTGGGTACCCGCTTATCACCTGCTCCGGGAATTGCTCATCATGGAGGTCCATGATTCGAACCTCTCCGGAAATTTTGGAGTTGTCAAGACGCACAAAATTCTGCACCGTCCGTACAATTGGCCCGGTTCTAACTCTGACGTGCAGCATTACGTGTCTTCATGCAGAGTGTGCCAGGCAATGAAATCGACATGTCAACGCCCGGCCGGCCTGCTGCAACCCCTCGAGCCACCCGAACGACCTTGGCAACAGGTGATAATGGACTTTGTCATGGGGCTGCCAGCTGGCGCGTCAGGCAACGACGAAGTGTTCGTCGTAGTCGATTGCCTCACGAAAATGGCGCACTTTGCACCGTGTCGTACAACAATCACAGCCAAAGAAATTGCGCTCCTCTTCATCTCAACCGTCGTTCGCTTACAAGGGATTCCGTCCGCGATCATTAGCGACAAGGACCCGAAGTTTACATCAAAGTTCTAGAAAGAGACGTGGGCGCAGTACGGCACTCGGCTACAATTCTCGTCGCCCTACCACCCGCAAACTGTCGGCCAGACCGAGCGAGCCAATTAGACGATGGAGCAGCTCATCCGCACGAACTGCCCCGACCCTGCTCGATGGGAAAATTCACTCCCCGTGCTGGAATTCGCGTACAACAATGCCCCGTCTAGCATGACCAACCATTCCCTGTTCTTCCTCAATTACGATATGGATCCGGTGGTACCCACAGCGACTACACTTGAGAACCCGGTACCACGTTTGCAACACTTTGTGACGGAAGTTCAAGCCATCCGCGAGAAGGCTGTCGAAGCTATTTGTAAAGCTAACGCAACTTCTCGAAAATGCTCGGACTTGCTACGCCGGGAAATCACCATGGCAACAAGGCAATTTGTGCTTCTCGATACCAAGAACCTCCGCCTGCCCGGCTCTTCAAAGCTTTGCCCACGCTTCTGCAGACCGTTTCGCATTGTGAAAATGATCACACCCGTCACGGTGAAACTTCTGCTACCCGACGACTGGCGTATACACGATGCCTTCCACGTCAGCCTCCTTAAGCCCTTTGTTTTGGTCACGACGGACATTGCCCACCAAAATGCAGCCTCGACAGCTCGCCCTGTCTCGAAACCAACGCTTGACCCGTCGAAAATTTTGGCACATCGCGTACGACTTGACGCAGCGGGACGTCACGTGGACTTCCTGATTCGTTGGACCGACCGCGCCATCGAGGACGACACCTGGGTGCCATCCGCCTTGCTTGCAGCGCCTTCGCTACTGCGCACTACCTCGCCCGGAAGTGTGTCGCGGACATCGACCACCTTTCTTAAGGGGGGGTAGTGTAAAGAAAAACCATTTTGGAAGTGCACGTTTGGCCACTTTTGCGTGCTGCCGAAGCAACCTCGCATTGCTTTCGGTTTTCCCTTGCCCAACCTGCACCCAACCTCGTGTTCCTGAGGTTCTTGCCTAGCTAGGTTGTCTCGCTATATAATAGTGTGCCTTTTCGTTGTATGCTAAATTCATTGAGTCACAGCTTCATTATTCGTTTCCCGCGCAACTCAGTTTGACAACTCATAACATCAGCCTTCTATCAAACATGTACACTGAATCCTAGTCCCCGGCCTCCCTGTACAACACCCTAAATCACCCAACACTTTCGTGGGACTACCATTATATTATATTTTTTCGTTCCAACCAAGTGTTACATCAGCAGTATACATTTGGCAGTATTTTAGGAGTGACTTTAGTGCCCAAAACAATTCCGGCGCCTCCCCTCCTGTATCGTGGCCCTGGTGGCCAGCACCACTGCGCTGTTGCGAGTGCGGGTGAAGCAGTGCGTTACACCCCGACGAGTTCGTGGCCTGGTCGGGGTTGCCGCCTGCGTTATTACACGACGCTAGTCCACCCAATTCATCCCCTTCTTTCCTGCTTTCCCTTCCCTGACCTCCCTTCCCTGCCCTCCCCGCTGCCCTTCCCTTCCATGCCCCACCCTTCCCTTTCCCATCCCTTCTCCCTTCCCTTCCCTTGCATGCCCTCCTCTCCCCCCTCACTCACTCGTTACCGTCTATCCTCTAGTTCCTGTGCATGTAGTGCCATCACGTGCTTGAATTCCTTTGTTGCTTCTCCCCTTCTGCCTCACAGCACCTTCCCGTTGGGCCTTACACAATCGGTTTTGCCTACTCTGCTAATTGGTTGTGTTGAAACAGAGGGTAGCAGTTACAAGTAGAGGCGTAACTAGTAAATGTTTGTCACCACTTTTGTTTTGTCTCGTATGCGTTGTAATGCAAGTATGGTAGTGAGTTTTTGCTAGAGATGCGTCATGAAGCCCACTATGTACCACCACGATTTAGCAATGCAATTTATCTTTCCAAGATGCATGGACAAGTTTCACATCACATACGGGTAGAACGAAACATGTTCTCATATAACTTTTAACTGTAGGCAAATGCCAAGAGGAGCAATACCGTACTATAGACCCTTTCTCTATGCATTTGGCAACAAATATTAGCCTGCTTATAGACCACATTCAGATCGCTTCCAGTGTTGGGAGGACGGCAGGGAAGGTAACAAGAGGGAATAGTATAGCAGGGAGGCCTGCGGAGGGCACAGCGAGGAGGGGAAATGAGGGGAAGCAGGGGGGGGGAAATGAAGGGAGGCAGGAGGGGGCGGGGGAGAAGTGAGGAGAAGCAGGGAAGGGTTTAGGAACGATGCAGGGAGGGGATATGGGGATGCAGGGAGGGGAGATGAGGATGCAGGGAGGGGAGATGAGGATGCAGGGAGGGGAGATGGGGATGCAGGGAGGGGAGATGGGGATGCAGGGAGGGGATATGGGGATGCAGGGAGGGGAGATGGGGATGCAGGGAGGGGAGATGGGGATGCAGGGAGGGGAGATGGGGATGTAGGGAGGGGAGATGGGATGCAGGGAGGGGAGATGGGGATGCAAGGAGGGGAGATGGGGATGCAGGGAGGGGAGATGGGGATGCACGGAGGGGAGATGGGGATGCAAGGAGGGGAGATGGGGATGCAGGGAGGGGAGATGGGGATGCAGGGCGGGGAGATGGGGATGCAGGGAGGGGAGATGGGGAAATATGCAGTGGATATGGGGAAGCAGGAAGGGGAGAGAGGTATGCAGGGCGGGAAGATGGGGATGCAGGGAGGGGAAGGGAAGAGGGGTTGAGAAGATGGGGAGGCGGGAGGGAAGGGAGGGAAGGGAGAGAAGGGAGGGAAGGGAAGGAAGGGGGAGAAGGGAGGGAAGGGAGGGAGGGGAGAGAAGGGAGAGAAGAGAGGGAAGGGAGAGAAGGGAGAGAAGGGAGAGAAGGGAGAGAAGGGAGAGAAGGGAGGGAAGGGAGTGAAGGGAGAGAAAGGAGGGAACGAAGGGAAGGGGGGAAGGGAGGGAAGGAAGAGAAGGCAGGGCAGGGAGACAAGGGAAACGAGGGAAGGGAGGGAAGAGAGGGAAGGGAGGGAAGGGAGAGAAGGTAGGGAAGGGAGAGAAGGGCGGGAAGGGAGAGAAGGGGGAAATGGAGAGAAGGGGGGGAAGGGAGGGAACGAAGAAAGGGAGGGAAGATGGGGAGGCGGGAGGGCATAAAAAAATGTGCGGAAAAATTCTGGCAGTTTTTGGGTGAATCTGCGGGAGTTGTCTGCCAAAATCGGTGGGTTTCCATGCGCCCCGTAAATGGAGTGGTGTATTGGCCAAATTTCCCCTTTTCCGAGCACCGCGTGCACCACAGTTTACGACCGCTTTTTTGCTACAGTGCCGTCAGGTTTCCAGCCAGAATCTGCCGAATACTGCTAAACTAGCCAGTTTCTTGCAGACACGGAACATGGTAGTTTCTGGAGTACTTGGAGTTCGGCCAATTCCCAAGCTCCCGGCATTTGCCCAACTGCCTTGAGAAACTGTCGTGCCTGGCAGTTTACGGCAAGCTCACGAGTAATCACAGAGTGGCCCAGTAATTTTCGCAGATGCCCCTGGTTATTGTTACGTATTAACTTCGCAGATGCACCTGGTTGCTTTGTTACCACACTGCGAATGTACACCTGCTTTTTGAGAGAAAATATATATTTTGCTTTTGTCTACATTTGAAAGTTGGGATTCCAAAATAAACATATTTACCAGAAAATGAATCAAATATAATGTGCCTTAGATTCACCCGTGCTGGTCTTACATTGCAAAACATAATTTCCTTGTACAAGCATATTTGTAATTCTAACAACAGTTTTATGCTTTCACAAATTCTGCAAGTTTACACAATCTCTTTCAAATGTACACCAAAGCAAGATAATTACAACTACATCCAATGCTTTATCGTTTCCCAAAACAACGCATACGCATTCCTGTCCAATAACTCACAGTACCTTTGCATATGCTGGAATACTAAGCTGAAAATGTTGATGTGAAGCCATTGCCAAGCCCGTTATAAGACCTTCCTCTCACCATTAGTATAAGCCAGCAACGCAATTAAACCTGCGTTTCAAGAGGCAGAATGTTAGTTCGGAGAAAATGTATGTCGGAAAAAAAAATACAAACAAAGTGCGGAAAACGGGGATATATTTACGTGCAGACCAAGAAATTACCCTTCAGAGGTGAGGGCATTACAAACAGCGAGGTTGCTTGACGAAAACAGGAAGTCAGCGAGATAATCTAACGTGACGAGGTGGATCAATGTTACTTCGAGGAAAACAAGAAAAAACCAGAAACAGAAACACATGTACTCGACGAGTCACAGCGAATCAGAGAGTGAAACGACAAACAAGCAGTCGAAGTCACGGCCATAAAAGAAAAAACTAGCAGAAAGGTGAGGAGATTAGAAGAGCTCACAGTTACGCAGCAGTTTCGACATGCCGACAGATCAAAGAGAAAAGGAGTCGCTTAAGTCTGAGAAACATGGCGTGAGAAACTAGAAACAGAGAAACACGAGTGGATTACTAGCTGCCCTACATGCTTTACATGAGTTCAGGATGGGTTGAGAGAGGGGGGCAAAGTAGGGGGGGGAAGCCAAGCCCAAGCGATGAAGTCACGCTTCTGCTTCGTTGGCGTTGATGTGGTGATAGGACAGAGCACGTTGCATAAACTGATTGGTGAATGCAAGCTTTGTTGCTATGTTTGCGTTTATTGGCACTAGGGTGCTCGATGATTGGTTTGCGTTTTTAGGCTGGTTTGGAAGCAGCTGATTCCGATTGGTCGTTTCGGCATCAATGTATCATTAGCATAAAACGTGAACTGAACAGCATATCTCAACACCGAGATACACTGTTCATTGTGCCCGTCACATGAGTTTTCCCCTCAGCGATGTTGTGAACATCATACAGTTTTTTAAATTTGCAGCGTAAACATCAGTCGAACGTGCACTTTGTTGCTCAAGATGGCGGAAATGAGAATTCAGGCAAAAAAAACAAAAAACAGTCTTGAAAGCCTTCGCCGTCTAGCGAGGGCACAACAAGCAAAAGCGACAGCTGAGCAAAGCTTTGCGCGACTGGCGTGGCTGAGCAAAGCTTTGCTCGACTGACGTGGCTGAGCAAAGCTTTGCCCAGCCACGCAATTCCCCATCGCGTCGTGCTGCTCCCCCACCCACTCCCCTCTTAATTGCGGTATACGAATATCTAGATGTTAGCGTGCTTGTTTACTTCATTTTTTTATATGTCTCTTTAATTACCTGCATTGCATGTTCCAGTGCAACTCTATGACAAGGGGGTTTTGGATTTACAACAAAAAAATGGTGAAGCTACTACAATTAAATAACCTCAGGTGATTATAAAAACGAAGAAAATAATCAAGGGTTTAGGGTTAAAACCGTTAATAGAACGACAACATGTGTATTTCACTTGAGTTGTGTTCGCTCTTGTTTCTTAAATACCAATTTTTTCTCAACTACCTGTAAGAATAAATCAAGTATCAATATGGGCTTGATATGGTCTAAGGATGAGTAATGCATTGGAACCCTTAAAAGAGCTTGTTTGTAGTGAATATGAATAATATCATAATTACAGCAAAAGTTACAATGAATTACAAATGAGTGAAGTTGGCGAATGTCGTCGAGCCTCGGGGGCCAACGAAAGTGACTGTTGACATGACACGGCGAGACACTTTTGCAGAAGCAGCGACAAAGCAAGTAAACCAGACATGATGTGAGAATATCATATGAACAGCATATCCAAACATTTTGTTGTCGTGTGCTGCGTAGTTGTGCGAATGAGCTCAAAACAATTTCTGTGGCAAGGTAATTGGTTGAACTACCTGAATGTGTGAAATATTGTTAAAGAAAACAACCAAACGATGAAATGGTGACATGTTGCGTACTAGCCTATCCTTGCACAGTTTCATGCCATCGAAAGTACAAACAAGCGTCACGTGCTGCGTCATTGTGCGAACGAGCTCAGAATAGTTCCTATGGAGAGGTAATTGACAAAATGCGAAGAAGTGGTGCTTAAAAAAAACAACCAAACGATGAAACGGTGATATGTTGCGTACTGGCCTATCCTCGCACAGTTTCAGGCCATCGAACACACAAACAAGCGTCACGTGCTGCGTAGTTGTGCGAATGAGGTCAAACCAGTTTCTATCTCAAAATAACTGATTGAAATACCTGAATGTGTGAAGAAATGGTGCTAAGAAAAACAATCAAACAATGAAACGGTGACATGTTGCGTACCGGCCTATCCTCACACAGTTTCAGGCCACTGAACGCACAAACAAGCGTCACGTGCTGCGTAGTTCTGTGAATGAGGTCAAACCAGTTTCTATCTCAAGATAATTGATTGAAATACCTGAATGTGTGAAGAAATGGTGCTAAGAAAAACAATCAAATGATGAAACGGTGGCATGTTGCGTACTGGCCTAATCTCGCACAGTTTCGGGCCATCGAACGCACAAACAAGCGTCACGTGCTGCATAGTTGTGCGAATGAGGTCAAACAAGTTCCTATGGCAAGATAATTGATTGCTTTACCTGGATATGTGAAGAAATAGCACTAAAAAAAACAACTAGATGATGAAACGGTGATATGTTGCGTACTGGCAAATCCTCGCACAGTTTCAGGCCATCGAACGCACAAACAAGCGTCACGTGCTATGGATGAGGTATAAATAGTTTTTTATCTCAAGATAATAGATTGAAATACCTGAATGTGTGAAGAAATGGTGCTAAAAAAAAAACAACTAGACGATGAAACGGTGACATGTTGCGTACTGGCCTATCCTTGCACAGTTTCTGTCCATCAAACGCACAAACAAGCGTCACGTGCTGCGCAGTTGTGCGAATGAGGTCAAACAAGTTCCTATGGCAAGTTAATTGATTGAACTACCTAAATTTGTGAAGAAATGGTGCTAAAAAAAAACAACTAGTCGATGAAACGGTGACATGTTGCGCACTCGCCTATCCTTGCACAGTTCCAGTCCCTCAAACGCACAAACAAGCGTCACGTGCTGCGTATTTGTGCGAATGAGCTCAAAAAATTTCCTATGGCAAGGGAATTGAATAAACTACCTGAATATGTGAAGAAATGTTGCTACAACTAGACGATGAAACGGTGACATGTTGCATACTAACCTATCCTTGCATAGTTTCAGTCCATCAAACGCACAAACAAGCGTCACGTGCTGCGTAGTTGTGCGAATGAGGTCAAAGAAGTTCCTACAGCGAGGTAATTGATTTAAATACCTGAATATGTAAATAAATGGTGCTTAAAAACACAGCCATATGATAAAAAGGTGACATGTTGCGTACTGTCCTATCCATGCACAGTTTCAGGCCATCGAACAGACAAACAAGCGTCACGTGCTGCACAGATCAGTGAAAGAGGTCAAACTAGTTCCTATAGCAAGGTAACTGATTCAAGTACATGAATGTGTGAAAATATGGTGCTAAAAAATTCAAGCATACAATGAAACGCTGACATGATACGAATTGGCCTATCCTTGCACAGTTTCATGCCATTGAGCAAACGCACAAACAAGCGTCACGTGCTGCGTAGTTGTGAGAGTGAGCTCAAAACAGTTGGTAACCTATTCAACTATCTGAATGTAGAAGAAATGACGCTAAACAAAACAACCAGACGATGGAACGGTGCCATGTTGCGCATTGGCCTATCCTTGCACAGATTAAAACTATCGAACGCACGAACAAGCGTTACTTGTTGCGTGATTGTGCGAATGAGCTCCGACCATTTCTTATAGCAAGGTCATTGATTGAACCACCTGAATGTGTGAAGAAACTGCGCTTAAAAGAATCAACGAGACGATGAACCTGTGACATGTTCCGTAATTAGACCATTTTTCTAAACCTGATCATTGCACATGGTAATTCTCGTAATCACGAGAAGAGTAATTTTACATTAATTTTAAAAGTGGTAAGTGTGTTACAACACTAAATGATATTTGTTTACAACACTTGGACAAAGATGATACATATACAAAAAAAAAAAAAAACAAAAGTGGTAGACCAAACACACCACTGTATGTTTTTGGTAGTTCGTAGTTGTTAACGAATACATGCAAACGCGTTGTTGACGGGTCGAACCAGATGCGGAAGTGTTCTTCAGGAGTGGCGGGCGCACTCTGGCATAAACTGCCGTTTTCCCCCGCCTCCCTA